CTTCCGCGTTACTTAGGTACTACTGTGCTTACTGACAGTAGCTTACTGAATAGCATATATGTTTATTTCTTGATTCGTGAGGATTATCAAAACGTCATACATGTAGCGTACATGTATGCAAGTGCGGCTGAAACCTGTTGCTTCTGTTGACTTTTGAATAATCAATAAAATCTAGAGCTGTTCCGGGTGTTGTTTAGCAGGTGATTCCGTTAGGCTGACCCTTGCAAACTCCCTTTGCGCCCGATACGGTGATGCCCTTGAACGTCCACCTCGACACGGCGCTAGGGGCCACGACGATATCAAACACTTGGTCCGCAGAACCCGTGAGTCCATCGACCGTGATGTCCGAGATTGTCACCAAACTGGTAGGCGACCCCGTGTAGGCGCCATTGGATCTGCTGTAGTCCGAGTGGATTGCGATGGCGTTCTCCACGTTCTCAAGTTTGTTATTGATGTATTTTACATTCGTGACCAGGCCCTCCATGCCGATAATCGCCTTGATACGAAGGCCATTGTCACTGTTCTGGATGGTGTTACCCTGGACAGTAAGACCGGACACGGTCGTGGTCTGATCAACCGCAGAGCCACCGATCGATCCGATCGAGATACCGTGGCTTCCACTACAAAGGTTGTTGCTGAAGATTGTGTTGGTACTGGACTGCATGGCGAGACAGTCGTCTTGGTTGTAGATTTTGTTGCCGGTGATGGTAACGTGGTCGTTCTTGGTCAGGTCGAACCCGTCCGTGTTTTGAGCACGGCCATTGCCAGCACTGGAGTCTAACGTGAGGCCACTCAGAGTCGTGTGCTGGCACGTGATGATGCTGAACGTGCGGAAAGGAGAGTTCTTCACCGTAAAGCCCGAAATGTTTGAACCAACGACGCTTTGCAGCTTAACGAAGACAGGACGAGTAATCGACTCACCCTGCTTCCAGTACCAATCTCCCTGGCCGTCCAGTGTACCGGAGCCCTTGACTGTGAGGGAGTTTCCACTGATCGAAACAAGAGGACTAGCCCACTTTTCAGTGCCGAAGGTGACTGTGCCCGCGAAGTTGATAGTGGCTCCGTTCTTCGCTTTGCTCAGGTCAAGTGTGACTCCAGCCGGAACAGTGAGGGTTCCAACGGTAATAGTGCCGCAGGACGAAATGTCGTTGCCAGACTGATACGTGCCCGTGAGGTTGCATGGGTCACCGGCCTCGATGTCTTGACGCATCATGGGCGAACCACACGCAGTGACAGCGAGGAGTGCAAGGGCTAGAGCTGAGGAGAAGAGCTTCATTGTGAGCTTGAAAGACTGAGTTAGACCGGTGGAAATTGTAGAATGAGCATGATGAGAGAGGAGACGAGAGAAACGCGCGACATGGTTCTTCTATTGCAGTAAGCGGTTTACCACTTCTGTAAACGTTGGTGAGTCAGGCATTTGAGACCAGCACCTGGCACCGAACGGGATGTGCCGTTGGACTTTGTGACCCCAAACTGCCCGTTGCCACCAGACGTAGGGATACAAAATGTACATGGTTCAAGCGTTAACGTGAACTTTGTTGTGTCGTTTGGCTACAGTGAAAGCTAAAGCGTAGGTCCGCCACAAGGTGGCCACATGAGGTGGTGAACCGGTACATGTCGTTCGCACGAACAGCCAGTCTTCAACTTTCGTCCGGAACAGCTGGTTTTGCTGAAAACAAGTTGTTCGCCATGGAAGAGGTTCTCGAGCAGTGAATGCTGCAGCGTCTCCGAAGCAAAGTAAAAAGCGTTTACAATAACCCGCTAAGCTCGGGTACCGGTATATTATATTGAGGGCTGCGACATCGGTACATATGTGACGTAGCCATCAACCGCGTTGTTGCTACACACGATGATTTTGCTCTTTAATTAATCGTTTAATCGCTATCGCGTTCGGGTGGTCGGATCACGCGCATGATCTGCTGTGGTTGTTTCGAAATTGATGAAAGTTTGTCGCTAAATACCGTACCGTAGAGCAGTAAAATAGCACTGGACACCAGCCAAACCTTGGCAAACAGGACCGAATGGCAGCAACATGGTGGCACGTTAAATTGTTTTAGAAGATGGGTCCTGCGCTGCGCTACTCTTCATCGAGCTTTCGTCGCTCACTTTAACTACAGATAGATGGGCTCCGAAGAGCTGAATGATGTACTCAGCAGGTAATGCCACTCGGCTGGCCCTTGCACACACCCTTCGCACCCGATACAGTGATACCGGAGAACTTCCAGTTCGACACCACCTTAGGGCTCACGACGATATCGTAGATGTTCTGAGCAGTACCAGTGAGTCCATCAACGGTGATGTCCGTGATGGTAACCAGACTCGTAGGCGCACCAGAGTAGGCACCAGAGGAGCGACTGTAGTCCGAGTGGATCGCAATAGCGTTCTCAACGTTCTCGAGCTTGTTGTTCATGTACTTGACATTCGAAATCAACCCCTTCAAACCGATAACAGTCTTGATACGAAGACCGTTGTCGCTGTTAGCGATAGTGTTGCCCTCGACCATGAGACCCGTGACGGTCGTTGACTGGTCCACCGCGTTGCCACCGAGCGATCCGATAGAGATGCCGTGACTGCCGCTGCAGTAATTGTTGCGGAAGAACGTGTTGGTGCTGGACTGCATGGCCAGACAGTCATCTTGGTTGAAGATCTTGTTGCCCGAAATGGTAACGTGGTCGTTCTTGGTGAGACCGAAGCCATCCGTGTTCTTGGCAATGCCGTTGCCAGAGCTGGAATCGAGGGTTAGACCGGAAATGGTCGTCTCCCGGCAGGTGACGACGCTGAACGTGCGGAACGGGGAGTTCTTCAGCGTGAAGCCGGACACTTTGGAATCGACGACATTCTGGAGCTTGAAGAACACAGGGCGAGTGATGGAAGTTCCTTGCTTCCAGTACCAAGAGCCCTGGCCATCCAGCGTACCGGATCCCTGGACGGTAAGAGAGTTACCGCTTACACGCACCAACGGGCCGTCCCACTTAGCAGTGCCGAAGGTTGTTGTGCCCGTGAAGGTGATGGTAGCACCGTTCTTGGTCCGGCTCAAGTCCAAAGTGACTCCAGCCGGGACAGTCAGAGGCCCAACAGTGACAGAGCTGCAGGACGAAATGTCGGTGCCCGCCTTGTAGGTGCCGGTGAGGTTGCAGGGACCACCGGCTTCTGCCTCCTGGCGCATCATGGGCGAGCCATTGACGGCAGTGGCCAGAAGTGCGAGCGTGGCGAATGCTGTGGAGGAGAGCTTCATGGTCCAAGGTGGAAGTGATGAGGCGGTGGAGAATTTAAAAGTGAGATGAGGCTGTGGCTCGGTTTTAAGGGGGCACTTTTCAACCGGTGTCACTCCCGTGTACATGTACCATCCCAGTGCGCATTGTGGCATACTTCAACGATACATGTACATGCATGTGCACATGTGAGAAAGGCAAGAATGGTGTAGTTAGAAAGTAAAAGTGAAGTGTACTTCCTCTGGAGGTATACGTGCCTGGCATCTTGGATCTTGAGGATGAATAGGAAATCTTAGTGTGGTTGAGTACCCCACCACGGATAAAGCAAATCTAGGAGATTCTAGGTCCGTCTAGAGCGGTGATAGTCAATCCATTTCGTGCGGACGTAAAGTCATTTCGCGTACGTATTTGCACGAGAGACGCCGATCTCACTGTACGACTGCAACAAGTGGTTTCGCTGAACAAAGTTGAATGTCCATAGCTACACTGGATGGATCGCGCGGGTCCTTACATGTACTGCTTTCTTTGTGTGTAGATCTTATTCTAAACATGTTGGTAGATACATGTACTGTATGATATCGCTCTGGACTCCTCTCGTCGACCCGACAACTCGTGACTGTAAATACGGTTTTAGTCGCTTAATCGCTTTTTAGTCAAATACAAAACAGCGAGATTTGATTAGCAAATCGCAGATGTCGGGTGATATACGGCACAGACAACCCCATCAGTTGTCATAGCCCGCTATTATTCCTGTATAAGGGATTTCCAGCGATATAGTATGACAAAATTGCAAGAACACCGTTTGAAACGGTGTGCAACACGCTCAAACGCACAATAGCATCTCGGGGCGGGGCGACGCAGCTAAGGCGCCAACTAAGGCGAGCCGGTGCGAGGTCGCGTAGCCGCAGCAAACCCGCGCGGGGAGCCCGAAGCAGGGCCGCTCGGTATTTGCGGAGGCGGGCCCAGCGCCGAGCTCACCAGCGAGCCGCGCATTGCACTTCCCAGGTGAGAGAATCTATTAATCGCGAGCGAAGCGAGCCCTAGCCAAGCGAAGCGCGGCTGGTAACGACCTCTTACAATATATAATGCCTTTCCACAGGAGAGCCGGGTAATCCCTTACAAATGCCAAGTCAAAGCAAATCTTAAGTGCTATCCTGCAAAACAAGGTGTTTTGTATGCGTTGTCATGTATCTGTACCGGAACCTATTTGGGTTGCTGAAGCCTTAGATTGACTTTATCTCCGACAGTGGTAAGTACTCAGTTGGACTTGCCATCCCTTGCCTTTCCTTCATCGCCAAACCGTCCCGCTTCGAGCTTGCGAACGGATTGCATTCTGGAGCACCTGACGTGAATTCAACAAGCGACTCCGAGACGACCTTCATTAATCAATTATTTTGGCGGGGTTGCGATGCAAGTCTCCTGTAAACCCGTAAAAATGTATCTTGGAACTATCTCATGGAATCCCGCCCCCGCCTTCAAATTATGATAAAACCGGGGTTTCACCGATATTTTGGTCAACGAGATTGCTAAATGTGGCTTGTAACAACTGCACCTTCCCGCTAGCACTTTGGAAGAAGCCGATATTTATCAGCCTCCGGAGGACAACACGGGCTCTCCCGTGATGCAGGGACTCGATGGAGACGTTCCGCCGTCATGCTGCCTAACAAAGCCATCGCAGACATCCATGTCGGACCTGACCATCAGCGAGCAATCACAAGAGGTGTTGCAGCAGCAGTCAAATGCTCATTCAGCAACGTCTACAGCTCTATTGGCGCTGCCGAAGTTTCTTTGGAGCGAGCGGGTTCTATCGACAATTCGCAAGTTCTGCGATTACCTGAAGCATCCAGCTCACAGTCGAAAGACACTAAAAAGGGCAGCAAGTGGGCAATTGCCGAGTATCGAACTGAGTGTCCTGTTGATCTTTAAGACTTCTTGAAGTGGATTGACACTACGCCTGATGTTGATTACGTCGTAAAAATAGCGTCGAATTACCCGGTTTGTTACAACAAGAGTTTCCTGCTCTCAAGATCTCCATCAGTTTTTTTTTTTCAGAAAAAGGGCTAGTGAAGTCTTCTATTATGCCAATTTCGTCGTTCCAGTTAGTTAAGTTGTTGAATCGAGTGAATAGTGCACTACTTCACTGGGGTTTCACAACAGACCGAAAGAGAAGATTTAGACCCTTCGGAAGACGATGTGATTCTGTGGTGTTGGAAAATTCACGTGAACTCTAGCTACAAATGTAGTTAGGATGTTCCCACAACAATACGTCGACTAGGATAGTAAACGATCGTTAGGGTGGACCTGAAAACCCTAGTTCTGCCCTTGCACCGGGACAAACTGGACCTTGTAAACTACTTATATAGGCCAACCAGTAAAAATAAGAACTCGCTACTAGCACGAGCAAAGCTAGTAGGTGTTTTGAATCCTCGTGGTCCCAACAGCGGAAGGGTACCAGGCACGGGTAAGCCTTTTACGAGATCACCGAGTGTTCAACACTCGGCTGGAAGAAATAAAGGGGAGGCAATTAAAGCACTCCCAGTCGTGCAAATAGGCAACAATAAGCCGTCACGTAAAACCTCCCGATAATAATCGGCCAATACACAAGTCTCTTGGTCTTGCCGGATGAACCCTCGCTACAGGGCTTCGAGTTCACCGACAGGCATAACACACTCAAACAAGCTTGACCAGACGCTTACCTTGAAGCCGGACGTCGCTCTGTGTGCTTGAGTGGAAATTGTGTTCTGTATTTATGTTTACCCTTTCGGGTCTATTCCTAATAAGAAGTCCTAATCAAGTTTACAAATATCAAGTGAACAATGATCCGTTATGGATCTTCTTGCACGCCAAGCGTCGTCTGCACCGTCGCATGAGTATCTTTAACGGCCCGCGCCCTGTCCCAGACGGTGAACGTGTCTTCCAAGGGTCCCGAGTCTTCCGCGAACTCATCCCAACCGCCACCGAGGGTTCGCACCGTAGATGGTCAGTTCTTGGCCTCTGAATGCGAATCCGGACAGTCCATTATTAACAATAAAGGCAGCCTGGATTTAGTGACATATGGACAGTATCCAATATCCGTTGAGAGCTCCGTACTGACGCCGTCGAGTCTCTTGCGCCTTGGAGCCACTGTACATCACATGACCGAGGGTTCGTCGCTTGAACAACTTGGGCGGTGTCGCGTCTTTGGCGACGGGCGATTATCCGCAACAATGGAGAAATCACTACACCACAACTGCCCCTGTCGCAATGGAAGCCAAGGTACTGGTGTCCGTTGTGACATTTCTTCATTCTCCGATTTGCCATCCCATCTCAGGATGTCCGAGCTCTTGAGCCGGGCCGTGAACAACGCACTTCAGCGTCTCACTCCTCGCCGACGTCGTGAACGTGAACAGCTGGAGGTACATCAGCTCATCTTCCTCTTGAATCATCGGCGCCTTGCTCATCACCATGCACTACACGTCTTGTTTCTCAGGAGGGCAACACCGAGGTTTCGAGCGCCCCTCAGCCTGCTACACTTCCTCTGATGGCAGCGTCATCAACCGGACCTCCCGCGCTTCCTGCCCCGGACTCTTCACCCCCAGCGGCAGATCCTGCGGTACTTCCTGCCGTCGCTGAATCCCTGGGGATGGTTCCTGCTGGTCTTCCTGCGCCTGCTGGAGGTCCTCCACCACCCACCGAGGATTCACTGCGCGCCATGCTGGCTGAAAGTACGGAGACATCGGTCGATCACATGATGACCTCGATAATTCCGTACTTGACTGCGATGGCTCGTCACCAAGTGAAGCTCAGCGTTGCGCCTCCTCTTCACGGAGATGTCCACGCTCAACGTCGCCTCGAGACCGCCGTGGGCTTCGACGAAGTCCTCGCCGCCGTACAGCCCCTTCCTGACGCGCTGTCGGCATTACCCGACCGAGTTGTCAACTTGGAGCGTCAGTTGCGGGCTGCTCAGACCGAGGCTGCTACCGCCGTACGTTCGATGGCACCCGAAATCATGGCTCGGGAGAACGCGGAGGCGTTCCTCAAAGCTGCCAACGCCGAAGTCGAAGCCCTTTACAAGGACGTCAAGATTATCCGCGAGTCGAACGCCAAGAACGACGCCATGCTCGCAAGTGTTCAGGCCACCATGGAGCAACATTCAGAGGCCTTGAATCGTCTGAATTGTGAGGTCCAAGCGCGGGACGCATTTATCGCCACCTTGAACAAAAAGCTGGCCCGTGAACGCGAAGTATACAAGCCTTTGATTGCTGCGAACACCGAACAGACTCGGAAGCTTCATCTCCTTTTGGTCAAGCTTGCCAAGGGCAAGTATGTTGATAACGACACGCTCAAGGTCCTCGAGAGCCAGCAAGATCGTAACACTCGCCTCCTCCACGTGAGTCGCACCCTCCGTGCACACGTGAGTCTGGCCAAAAGGAATCCCGACGTACTGCGTCTGGCTGTTGATGGTACGTTCCAAATGTTGCTCTTTCCACCGTGTGCTCAGCAACTAACGTCCGTTCACAATCCGTCGTGATAGGTCTGACTGCGGGTGAGCTGGACCTGGACGCCCTGGACTTGGACCAAGAGACGTTGGTCGCTTTGCAGCGCATACAGTCTGCTGCCGCGTCTTCGGACGATCCACAAGCGCTTCCTGCAGCGTTGGCAAAGGCTGCTCACCAAGTGGCCCATGAGAAGTCCCACAAGCGCCTTCGACCAGGTGGCGAGGAGTCAGACGACAAGCTGGACGACTCTGACGAAGACAAGGCTCCCACCTTGACGGACAAGGCCAGTACTTCGATGGCAGCTGCTAGTCTCGGTGATGCGCCACCTGCCGACACCTCAACTCCCAAGTCGGCTCGTAGGTCGCTATTTTGTCCGAAGGCATGGAAGCAAGCGGCCCAGAAGAAGCGCCAGAAGACTCGCCTTCACTCTCCCGCAAAGTCACCCCGACGTCATATCCTAGCTCATGGTCGCCACCTCCTACACCAGTGTCTTCCTCGACTCCCGCCGTGGTTGACCTCAGCGGCGACCAGAGTGACGTGGCCAT